GTATTCTATTTTAAATCCTAATTTCTATATCTTAAGGTTGGTTCCCTTAAGCGTGATTGTTAGGTTCCATATATTTGATTGAGTGTGTAATATCTTGATTGAATTCTAGACTCAAACGCCAAGTGAGGATAAGAGTGTGTTATATCTCTCAAAACCAACTTGGATTTATCCTTTCTCCTTGCTTCCCCCTTCCCGTTTCGGCCCAACCACAAACACACCCAAACAGCCCCTTTCTTCCTTAACCTTACACCATTAAACTCTCACAATATCCCCTTCCTTTTCCTCCTTAAATTCGGCCACCCCATTTCCCCTTCAAACCGTTATATCCGGGGTCACCACATCCAAGCTGCGAGACATAGTTCAAATGTTCAAGCAAATGAAGGAAGCCATGGATGAGGACTTTGCTCCTTTTTGGGTGGAAACCAACCTTGAACTACAAGGCCCAGCCATAACCCCTTGGAGCCCCCATTTCCCATCTAAAATTGAACCATCCTCACCAAAAACCATTTCCCAAAATATCCAAAAAAAACCAGCCCAAAAATAACTCCATCTTCATTCCCATAATTCCACTTTTCCATCACCAGCATACACCCATCATCTTCTAACCGTATTGCTATCCCAAGAGCTCTAATAATCGATTGTTGAGCACTGACAATCGACTATTTCACCCTCCTGAATTTCCCTGGCATCAACAACAAGCCCAAATAATCGATTATCAATTATTGATAATCGACTATCTGCCATCCATGGGTTTAATAACACCATTCAATAATAACCAGCCCAAAAACTACATTATTCCCTCCCCCCTCTCCCCTTCCCTCTTGGCAAAAAATCCCTGCCCAAAACCCATGCCATAATCCATTCCTTGTTCTCCATGTTGTATAATCGCATGGTTTTCTTTTGAATCAAGACAACAAGTGTCTTTGTAGCAAATTTGATACTTCCGGTAAAGGAGTCATAATTTTTCTATATGTGGATGACATGTTGATCTTTGGCACAGACCAAGATCAGATAAATACAACCAAAGAATTTTTGTCATCAAGTTTCTCCATGGAGGATCTAGGGGAGGCAGATGTGTAAACCTAGGCAGAAGGATATCACTACGTCAAAAACAGATGCTGACAACTGTTTCTTTTAGTTGTCTAACTGTGTTGGTTTCAGTAGTCTTCCGAGCAGCTGTCTGATATATTTACAGACAACAGTTAAAAACAATTGTGTAGTACGATTGACGACACCTATTTTGTGATCTTTCAGAGTACATGTTTTTGAAGTTGTCCTCGTATGAGTAAGACATCTGTTTTCTAGAGTTAAAGACAATTGTGATTTTTTGTTGTCTATCTATAATATATACTACTGTTGTTTTCAACTTCAGACTCCTATTGTTTGGTGTTGTCGGTCAAAAGTATAGATATCTAATTTTTAAAGTAGTTGAAACATATATCAGACTGCTGCTCGGAAGACTACTAAATAGAAAGTGTTAGACAACTGTTATCTAATGTTATATTTCTAAAACATAGATTACTAATTTTGTTGTATGTTAAACAACCGTTTCTTTCAATTGTATAGTGCGCAATAACACAATGCTTTTTTGTAGTTGTCCTTAAAATATTCAAACTATATTTTTGAATAGTAGTGTAATTGATTATCAGACAACTGCTCAGAAAACCACTACAAATATTTTCATCAAACAACTGTTATTTTGTGTTGTATGTACAAATTAAGACTACTACTTTGGTCTTATTTTAAACAACTGTTTATTTTTGTTGTATAACAATTATTAACACTATGATTTTGTTTAGTGGTCCTTGAAATATTCAAACTATATGTTTAAGTAGTAATCGAATTAGTTATCAGACAATTGCTTGAAAGACCACTAGAAATATTTGCATCAAACAACTGTTGTTTTTTAA